CAGCAGCAGAAATGAAAATGTCAGATTTTGTTTAGGGTTCAACAGAAAGTTTTATTTGACTCAGAATAAAATATTTAGCTAAGCATTTAATTTAAACACTTTTCCTTTAAAAAAGTTAATTTCAAATTTTAAAAGTGAGACATTTTTGTTTAAAAAATGTTGATGCAAAGCATTTAACTTTTTCAGTGTTTTGCTCAAAACAGTTTGGTGAAGTCAACATACATTTGAAAAATGTTTCAATCAATCCATATCTGCATTTTTCAGTGAGGGGAGCAGAAAGGTTTTGTTGAAAATTGCGTCCTCTTCGTTGTCTTATGTCCAGTTATGATGATGATTCAAGATAAAATATTCATAGAATCATTGGACTGGAATGGTCTTGAGAGGTCATCAGGTTCAGTGACTTTCCACCTCTCCAGGCTACTATACCCCTTTCGGAAGTCTGATTTGTCTTGCATATTCCCAAGTTTCACCTTCACAACTACATGCTTACAAAATCAGACACAAAAATACAAAAATTTCACAGGATACTGTTACAGAAAAATGCTTACCTTCTCATGTTTACTATATTTTAAATCAGAATGTAAATATTGTACTTACATTTCAGTGTATTGAATATAGAGCAGTATAAACAACTATGAAATTTTAGTTTGTATGAACTTTGCTAGTGTTTTCTTTATAGCCTGTTGTAGTACTAGGCAAATATCTAGATGAGTTTATGTATCTCTGGAAGACCTCTGCATACCCCAGGGGAGCATATACCTTTGGTTTAGAGCTACTTATCTAGTCCAATCCCCTGAATTCATGGCAGAATAATAGCTACTTCTATGCTACCAAGTTTTGTCACCAAAACTTCCTTTTTTAAACAAAACTGATAATGTACACATTGCAAAGTGATTTTTGTTGCAAAAAATGCTGTTTCGGCAAGAGAACACTTCTACCTCCAGGAGAGACTTTTTTTCTTTCCCTCTCCCTTTACTGTTTACAGACATGCACAGTGAACACCATGAGACTTTTATTTTTTTTGCATTTATTACCCTTCTGGAAGTTTCCCAAATAACCGTTCTGGCCAGCGGTTTGAACTCTGCTGCCCTGCATTCAGGTACACCTTAATCAGCCCCTCCTCTTGCAAGTCCTGTGTTC